TTTTTTTTTTTTTTTTTTTTTTTTCATTTTTCATGTACTAATATGGAGAATGATGTGTAGGTTGGTTAAAAAATTGTATTCGCCATCAAAACTAGATGTAGGTTAGTTAAAGAACCATTTATTTATATGCATGCATATGAAAATTTAAAAAATAATTAGACCCTTCACAAAGTATCTACAGGGAAATTGTCTCCTTTAGTTAAACTTAAAAGAGTAAATGCATATAAAATCTGATTTTCATAATTAAACGATTGTGTATTTCTATAAATTAGAAGGTAAAACTTAGTCTAAAAATTTCTCTTAAGAGACAATTTTAGTTAATTTTTAAAATTTTAATAATAGTAGTGGAGTACCCAAAATAAATTTATTTTTTTATTTTTAAATTTAGAGCCTTATTTTTTTCTTAAACTTTTAAAATTATAAATTTTTAAAAATTTATAGATTTATTAGACATTATTAAAAAATTTCAATGTTATTAAATATATCTAATAGATAATTTCTTTTAAAATTTTATTAGATATAAAATAAAAAATATAAAGATGTATCAACCATTTCTAATAAACATTTAAGATCACACCAACTAAATTTATAATTTATAATTTAGTCTAAGAGGTCATTATTAGGTATGTGTTGGAAAGTGTAAAAATTCTATAAAGAATATTAAAAGATTTAAAGAAACCAACGACAAAGTTGCACAAAATCATCCACTAAGTCACTTCTGCATCTTTTAATACCCCTTTTTTATGACCAAAGCAGAGTTTAAAATGGCAACCAAATCTTGCTACTATAATAGGTAGCACTTCAATTCTAGAATCTGACTTTAAGTTCCATCTCTTTACCTTTGTTTCCGTTGATCAAAACCAGCTTTAGATCCCACCAAGTGTTGCCTCCTTGACTCCTTAACTTTAAAACTCCATTAACCATTTCCTTTTTACAAATAAACAGATAAACGGCATCTCAAAGATTCCTACGGGCCCTTTCTTAGATTCGACATTGACTCAGACTCCAACTAACCTAATAATATTAATCAATGCTATAATTCATGATTATATTTGTTGTTTATGCTAATGATGAGCAAGGGACCAAAAGTTGATTCCATTTCGTTTGATGGTCGCTTTTGAATAATGCAGGTGGACTATTGACGTGGGATGGACAAGCACTTGGGTTAAGATTGTGAATGAATGGCTCGCTGTCTGTGTTTACTGTGAGTTTCTTCTCTGACAACGCCGTTTAGGTTTGAGTTTTGTTTCTTAAAAAAAAAAAAAAAAAAAAAAAAAAAAAAAGATTTTACAAAAAATTAAAAATAAATAAGAGAGGATGTTTTGAACATTTTTTCTTTGACAATTTTCTTTTTCTTATGAGAAAAAGTAGTTTGATAATCTCTCTAATTTCCACTTTCAAATTTTGAGCATTGTAAGTAGTTTTTAAAACTAAAAAATATGGCTCCATTTGGTTGTTGGTTTTTCAAAGGAAGGTTGTTGTATAAACTTCATTTCTTTTGTTATTTACTCTCTAAACATATTTTCAAAATTCAAATCAACTAAAAAAAATTTATTGTCTTTAAAATTTGGTTAAAAATTCAAAAGTTTTCTCATGAAAAATATATTTAATGTAGAGAAATGATCAAAACCAAAAACAATTGTAAAAAATAAAAAATTGAATGGTTATCAAATAGACTCATAGTTTTTAAAATTTTTATTTTTGTCTTTAAAATTTGGCTAAAAATTCCAATGTTTCTATAAAAGATGAAAACTATAATAAATAAATTTGGAGAAAAGAACCATATTTTTAAAAATAGAAAACTAAAAACTAGTGATCAAATGTGAGCCATAAGTTATCTTTAAAACAATATTCTATTGTCCAAAGCAAAAAAAAAATGGAGTCTTTTTTATTTTCTTAAAATATATTTTTAAAAGTTTTTGTTTTGGTTAAATGTTAAAAAATTATCTTCGTAACTATTTTGGCAGTATGGATGGTGGTGGCTCCAGTGATATGGAAGAACAGGCAGAGTATAGTAGGAGCTGTATGAGAAGCACTGACCTTCGCCCCATATTCATTCGTTGCGTGGCTGCAAACACCCTCAATATTCCTTGCTTTGCTGCTATGATTAAGCGACTGCAAAATTCAAAACATGTAATTTCCACACACACAAAAAAAAACCCCTATTTTTATTTAGTTTTGATTGATGATTGGATTTGTTCCATTTCTCAATGCCACCCGAAAAGATAGGCATCTCCACAAATAGGAAAGAAAAAAATTTATTGTAGCCCCCTAACATATTGTCCCATTTGTAAATATACACCAACTTGTTAAGTTTATGGACCATATTATTATAAAATTAGAAATTTCAAATTAGAAAACTGCCAATAAAGCTCTTGTAAGATGTTTAAACGTAATTGGTTGCAAATCACTATCAATTATATAAGAATAGATAAGAAATAAGAATTACGCCTAGAAAATATTTTCTACCAATCACTACTAAAATTGAACATAACTCACAAGTGTTAAAAGTAAAAACTTTCAAATGAGGTCAAAAATACGACTTTCTGCTAGGCATACCTCAATTGATTAAAACAAATAATTTCAAATGAGGTCAAAAGCTCAATTTTCTCCCGAGTATTTCACATTTAAAATCATTTTGCGTAGATAAATATATACAATAATTAAACAATGTGCCTAGAAAAAGTGTTGGACATGTAAAAAAAAAAAAAAAAAAACCATTTTCCTTCGATAAAATACACAAAGCAAATCAACAATTTAAAGGCTAACATTTTCAAATAAGGTTAAAAGCTTGATTTACTCCTAAGGTATACCTCAACCGGTATAACTCAACGGGTTAAAATAGAGGTTAAAAGCTTGATTTTCTCCGAAATGCTTGCTAGAAAATAAAGTGTTAGGTGTGTAAAAATCATTCTCCTAAGTACTTGCTAGAAAATAAAGAAGCAAATGTGTGTAAAAAAAATATTGAAGCGGTTCAGGTTAGAGAAAGATCATACATGGTTTTTCAACACCTTTAGTATATAGACAGAGTTCGCTGAACCGTCGCTGCAAAGCCTGCAATTTGATCTGTATGCTACAAATTCTTCCAGACAACAATATAATAACTCACAACAATGAACAAATTATGTAATTCACAAAAAAGAGTGAAAATAAAAACACAAAAAAAAAAAAAAAAAAAAAAAAAAAAAAAAAAAAAAAAAAAAAAAAAAAAAAAAAAAAAAAAAAAAAAAAAAAAAAAAAAAAAAAAAAAAAAAAAAAAAAAAAACAAATTATACAATTTGAGAGGGGAAGTTCGTAAATAAAACCACAAATAACCCGTCGGAAACTCCCTTACTAACACCTAAAATCACCACCGTGGCCTAGAAAAATAATCTACGCCTCCACCATTGAAACAAATCTGGGTTGAAACCCCTATACTCTGACTCCTCTCTTAAGATCTCCCCCATCGGATATCAAACAAAATGTACAGCGCCAATCAGGTAATTTGACTCTCTTTTATCTCAAGGGATAAACAGATTATAATAAGAGCATTACAAAGGACACCAAAACTTTCTCACCGAGGGATTTGATGGTATGAGCAAATAAGACAATGCCAGGGCTATTCCATTCTCTAACTAGCCAAATGGGTTACCTCCGGTGGACGAGAAAGGGTTCGGAGTAGCAGGAGCTGGGAATCTACCAGCTGTCTGCTGGCTCATATCTGTGTACCCATGAGCAACTCCCTCGTTTCCATAGGTGCCAAGTCCAGGATGCCTGAAATAAATTTTAATCCCCCATTAGGTGAAAACTCGTAGCCAAATCATAGTACATATGAAAATTGTTCAGACTCCATTAAATGTGATAATTTATCATTTAAAGCTTTCCAGTAAAAAGATTTTTCTCCAATAACCGATTACTTTTGAGTCTTGATACGAATGCTAGTTCTTACTGGTTATGATATGAATAAGTATTTTTCATATGCAATCCATTTTGCAGAACAAATTTTTTTCTTTTTTTAAGAATTGTGAGTGTCTAAGTCTGCTTTTGTGCATTAAAACAATAATTACCTGTAAGGTTGCACATTACTGACTACTTGCTGTCTCATGTAAGGCGGCCCTGGGATATCAAAGCAGAATTTTAGCACATCAAGCAAAGCAATATATTACGTGCGTGTCTCGTGGTGTTAAAAGGATGGGATCATTTTACTTGAATGCATTGTAGATGGATATGATGCCTGGGGAGGCAAATGTGATAAGTTAGATGGTGGCTGTTGTGGTATCCATGCTGATGCAGGATTACCATAGCCGGGAGTACGTATTAAATTTGATCCGGGTTGCCCACTCGGTAAAGCATTTTGCAACGGTGCCATTGAAGGGAACTGCAAAGAAAGCAAATGCATTTAGAGATGCATCTTAAATTGTAGAAGAAATTCAGAAAATAAATAACAGAAAGATACGTTATATCGATTTATAACTCAAAGCACACTACGTAAATTACCAATGAGTAAACCATGAATAATCGTCACAATTCAATTTGTTAGCTGATATAAAGGAACGTTTACAGAAGTATGGATGTTCAACGAAGCAGTGAGCTAGAATTAAAATACTAGAAGAATTTTAAGTTGTGAATTCTTGTTGAAGGAGCGTATTAATAATCTAAATCAGTAGTGACATGACTATACACTAACTATATAAAGTACAAAAGGCCAAATGTCAAAATTAACATCAACATACCTGAGATTGTTCGCTGCTGAGATCGAATGGATTTGTAGATATTGAAGGTTGTGGAAAACTTGGCATGGGCTGCAAAGTGAATGAAAATTCAGAGTCATCAAGATTTAAGTGGAAATCTTCGTGAAAATTCCCAAACAATGAACTTAATAGTTTTAGACAGAAAAATACCATTGGAGAATTATATGGCATTACATATCCCATGGGACGAGGCGGAACAGTATGCCACCCTGGGACTGGTGCAGGGTACGATGAGTAATTAAGAGCAAAAAGATCCTGCAGACGATTGGGAATTTGGCAGTTGTAATAGAACGCAAGGAGATCAACAAAAACCAAAATTAATTATTTAATTAATGGAGCGCGATAGAGAAGGGGAGAAGTAATTACGGCTGGTAGTTCTTTTCTCCCGCTTGGCTTTACTTCGGGTGCAGAAGTTTGTGGTACACCAGAAGCTGTCCCCTGCGCAGGACTTGAAAAATCTTGGGGTGCGGGGGCATGTGCTGCTGGATTACTTAGAGGTCCTTGAGAATTAGCAGAAAGTGAAGCATTCCATGGCTACCAGAAACCGCCAAAAAGTTCAAAATGAATAATGTTTCTTTTAAACAACATAGCATCCAAAATAGAGAGCCAAGCAAGTCTACAACATAAAAACCACCTGATTGATGGATCTGTCAATTGACGGCGGAAATTGTTGACCCCCGGGTTGGGAATTACCACCAGGAAATAAAGAATGTGTCTGTGACTGCATGTTAGACCATTGCCCTGAACCAGAACATGAAAAGCAGTTTTAGCCAATATGGACTAATTGCGTTGGTATAAATCAAGGGCCAGCTAATGAAGCACCTGATGGAGGAAATGTTGACAAGCCAGTCCCTGGGGCAGCTGAGGGTGCCCCGCCAGCAAAGGGAGGAGGCATAAGGGTGTTTCCTCCTGATCCAAAAGAAGGATCAAAACCAGATGGCAACATCATCATGTTGCTCACCGGTGCAGTAGGTACAGCACCAACAGCACCATGTGATCCAGAAATTCCAGGTACAGAAGCTGAAACTGACAATTGGGAAAGTACAGATTCTAATGTGCCAACATTAGCAGGTGCAGGAGCAGGAGCAGGAGCAGGAGGCGCCTGAGGGACATCAAATGATGCCCAATTGTTGTCGTTATTAGAGTTCACTGCGTATGTTACAGATTGTGGAGCAGAGCTTTGTGGTGGCTGCGGGACTGCTGAAGCAATAGGTTCAGGCTCTGCATCAAAATCAATTAAACTTCCAGAAGGTTCCAATTTAGTTTCCACGACGCTCTCACTGATGGACCCTAAGCTACTGGAAGAAGCAGTTCTCTGAAAATTTAAATAATACATGGTATAAATTCACGTATGATTTACTCCAGTAACAATGGAAAAAGGCAAGAGTAATCTCAAAGGAAAATAATACTGACAATCACTCAAAGATAGAATGACAACTGATGTACTAACACCAACAGGTTCACAAGCAGCATGTTAAAAAAGGTTGTGAATATCTCAATATTATGAGCAGTGGCAGAGAAGAGAGTGTTTTAAGACCGAGGTATTGTTAAGCAATGAGGCCTAGGGGTTAACAACAAAGAGCAGAAGAACAAGACACAGATCAAGAATGCAGCAATTAATCATAAGGATCCATAGTTGCTGTACATGGAGTTTTCTCACAAACATGAGGATAAAAATAAATCAATTTCATAAGAAAAGCTAATTAAAAATATTTCCCTGAGAATTTACTAATAAGCATAAATCTCAAAATCTAACTCCACTCCTAAGACAGTAAACTTAAATCTCGCACACTTTATCACATTACAGCCCGAAAGCATACAGTACAACTAAGTCCAAAATTTTTAATTGGATAGACACAAAAACTTAAATGCCAATCATAGAGATGCCTCTTATTGAGATAACAAGAATCGAAATGAATGAGTTGGAATTTAAATGCAGCAGCTCAAAAAAAAAAAATCGATAAATACCAAATCTCAGAAGAACGAAATGTCAATGACAAGGGAATTATTTATGGAAACTAACATGCAGATAAACACAGAATAGAGGGAAAGGGGCACTTGGATAGCAATATGAAGCACACATAGAATTTCTGTGCTCATTAAAGAAAGCCTCACCTGTTTATGCACAGAGCTATCAGCAGCCTTGCTACCACCACTAATTTTTGGTGGTTCAATTACACGAAGTGGAGATACGTTCTCTCCCAAAATATCCCTAACAGGTCGCACCATGGGGGGACTGGAAGCATCCAGATCATTAGGTTGCTCGGGTGACCTGCCTCCAATTTTTGAATCTCCATCAGATGATCTTGCATCTTCAACTCTTTTTCCATTTCCAAATCTGTCTTCTCGACGCCAATCATTCACAACCTCAGGACGAGGACTCATAAAATCACCAAACTGCCGATTTTCATGATCAGATCCTGGACTTCTTCTACCATCAAAGTTTCTTCCACCAGGACTAGATCTTTCATTGTAACGGCGGTCTTCATATGGTGGGCTTCTAGAACCTCCTCGATATGTATCTGTTCTCCTATTTTCATTATAGTCCTCTTTCTCACCCTGTGTCCTCAATTGAGATTGGATTGTTACTTAGAATCATGATAAAATGAAACATTACTGAACTTAAGAATTGAATCAAGATGATGAGAGTTACTGCTTGATTTATCTTAGAGAAATTAGCAAAGAAGGATTGGGGGCATCTCACCGATTTTACCCTAGGCGGCTTGTCAAAATTTTTATCACCACTATATCTTCTATCCACATAAACATGCTTAATAAAGTCTCTGAGTCTCATAACGTTACTGGAAAGAAAAGATTATTTCAGTACAACATCCTTTGGGGCCAACATAACCATATAGCATTCAAAAAAAATTTAAAAATTTAAAAAGTAAAAAGTAAATTAAAATGACCTGCTGTCAGGAAAAGAATGACGCTGTGGATCCAACTCTTTAAAGTAAATTTCCCTTGCACGCTATGAACATGAAAAGAGATGACATAAAAGGAAAATATGAGAACATCAGGATTCTTAACAGTGGAAAGCTGACCTTGAAAACGAAAGTAAAAACATCCATGTGCAGCATACCTGATTTCCCCCCTCTTGAAGGGCGCTGACTTCTTGAGAAGTAAATTTGGCCATTGATATTGATTTTACCCGGTGTGTAAACTCACGGCTATTTGATTAGTGAAATCAAGTAAGTTTTTATCAAGTAAATGAACATAATAGAAGAAAGTATTGATCAATGTGATTAATGCAACTATATGACCATTGATTGATTTGCGTGACTTTGGAGGATCCGAAATCAAAAATAGAAGAGAAACTGAACAAATACAAAAACGATGCACACTTACTGTATTCCACTACAAGTTGTACAAACAAACGTCCAGAAATTCGTGCAGACGTACTGTGGTCCCTGCATGTGTTTCAGTAAAATTGATTGAATTTCACGTGAACATTGTAGCCTAAGGTCTTGTGACTTCTAAATGTTCATTCTAACTTCCTTTCATGGATTTACGATTTTAAGAAAGAAAAAAAAATGAAGAAGAGGTCAAAAGGAATGACTGGAATTTCTTTACAACGAAGCGAATATTTAACTTCATTCAACCAAATACAACGAAAAGAAACATGATAGTGAGAAAGGCAGTAATAATGTACCAGGCTGTTGCAGTTGATGCACCGGCGATTCTCCTGAAGCTTCAGGAGACCGCGAATAATCCGTTCGTTCTTCTCATCCTCCTTCACTCGATTCGCCATATAGGCCAACCTACATCAATTGAGATCAATGTTAAGCAAGACAAACAACAATAAACTCCAAATACACGAACTCAAATGGAATCTCCACATCAAAATCACTGTCTATCGAATATGTTTCACAAAACAAGTAGAGAAAACGCGAACACAACGTTTTATCCGGTGTTCATTACAAAAGATGAATCAATTACAAGAACAGTACGTTAAAAAAGAAAGCAAAGGAAATCCGAATGCACAATTGGAGAAGTCAACAATGAACGATCTCAATTACACATTTCTTTTTCAGCAATCAAACAAAACCTCAATTAAACAACGAAATGTCCAAGAATCCAAACACAGCGGATCTGAAAAAGCAAAACCTCTCCTAGACTGAACAACACGAGTAGAATCAAAACAAAGAACGTCCATAGAAACCAAGGCAAGTAAAAAATTGAAACGAAAAATCCAAAACGAACCGAAATCAGCAGACAAAACACGATTATTACTTCTTCTTGTTCAGCAGCAGCCTTTCAAGCTGACTAGAAAGCTCAATCGATCCACCAGCAACTTAGAAACAAAGAACGAAAAAGAAGAGAGAGGGAGAGAGGGGGAGAGAGCTGCAGATCCTTTTTCTTCAGTATCGGTAACTATGGCCTTTCTCTTGTACAGCTAAGAGCTTAAAAACTCCCTTCGGCTTTTGCCTTAAAATTGTCTAGAGAGAGAGAGAGGGGGGCGGGGGGTTTTGGAGGGGAGAGATGGGATGGATCTGGGATATTTTACGGTGTTCTCGGGAGTAGAGTAACTATCCTGTTCCCACATTTGTCGCTCGCCCGACTTCCATGGCGTTGGACTGTTTAAAGTCTTTTATTTATTGTCGAAATTGCTTGCTGTGTCTGTGACAGTCCTCGAATTGGCAACTGCCGTCTAACTATTTGCCCTTCCATTTCTCTATAATTACTATTCTAGTCATTGTAGCTGCGCCGTTTTTAAATAACGTAACAAACAGACCGACATGTCGGAACTTAAAGGGTTGAGATTTAGTCTTTGGTGTAGTTTTAAGCCGACAAGTCGGTATTGCGTCTGGTTTCAGTGGTAACTGAAGCCCATTAAGAATCTTTTGGGCCCAAGCCCATTAATTATGGACTCGGGTTGGGTCGGTTAAGATATATATATATATAAATATCTTAACTAATTAACAAAAAAAATTAATTTTAAATATTGTATTTACTAAAATTCCTCTACGAATTTATTTTATTTTCTTTTTTTAGTCTAAATACGTTATTATTTGAATGGATAATAGTTATTTAACGGTCAATTTGTGAAACTAAAAAAATTCAATAAATATTTGAAGGGCTGGTTGGTGTATTTTGAATGATTTCGTCAAATCAATTAAATTTTTGGCGGTCTTTTTTGTTTCAGCCCGTCTTAATTGACTCGTCCATTTTTTTTATTGATTTTTTTTTAATGTATTTCAATTTTAATATAAAAAATGACGTGTAAAGTTAAGTTTCAATGAGCAACAAAATTACCATGATTACGAATCAAATTAGATATGTCTATCCCGTGGCGGCGTAGGGATGAAGAAGTCTTCTCCGTCTTTATTTATTTCGCAAAATCTATTTATTTTACAACAATTGAGACAATAATTCTCCATAGAAATTGGATCGAGTTTTCATAAATACTTTTTTCAATTTTTTTTATTTTAATATAATCTTTATTAAAAATGGTTTATAAAAATCATAATCAATAGTCTCCTAATAAAATTTTTTAAAATTAAAATTTTAATACAAAAATTTACCACAACATATACTTTAGTTGAAATATTAGGGTCAAAAAGCAAAAATATATATGTATTTTAAAATACGTGTTGAAAATATATTTATATTAAGTGAAGCGAGAAAGTAGGTGAGGACAGTGATGAGAAATATAAACTCGTCTTGGACTCTATTTATGTAACAAGAAAAAATTATTTTTTACTCTCCCTTCCACTTTTAGTCTAAACCGAGAATTTCTACCCAGTTTGTGACAATTTCTGACACGAAAATAAACTTCTCTAAATGAAACCGAACATTTTTTACTTATTGTCAAATTATTATATTTAAGGACACAGACAAAAAAATAAAAATAATATATATATATATATATATATATATATAATTTAATATTCATTTTTATCCCATCCAATGAAATATTTAAAATATGGTGAAATTAAGCTTTTAGATCTCAATTACCATAATTAAAGTTATTTCAAGTTACCCTATCTAAAAATAGAATTTAAAAATAGTATTATTTTTTTATTATAGAAGAATTTAAATAGAAAAAATCAATAACTCAATAACAACTAAAAGCCTCCCAGTCCCGAAATAATTTAACTCAATTATAACTAAAACTCAAAGATTTATGTCTGTTATAAATTTATAACAAATTATAAAATAAAATCTTAAAATTTTAAATAACAATAATTATAGGAATGAAAGATGATACTACAAAAGAAAAAAATGGGTTACTCACTGTCACTATCCCGTAATAATATGGTTATATGTATGATTATGGATGGTTAAATTGACGTTCGAATATAAATTTTTTTAATACACATGAAAATTAAGTTGAGAATTGGATGAAGTTTAATGAACCGAGAGTCATCGCAACTTTAAAATATAATAAATCGAAAACATGTGAAAATCACAACGGAGAGTCATCGCAAATTTAAGATATAATAAATATTTTATGTAAGTTGCCTTTACATAATCGAAAACATGTGAAAATCACAGCTAAATTAAAAATCCATGACTAAATTTTTTTTCTTATACAAAATAAATACGGTTGTAAGGAAACGTTTTCTTGAACAAAATCAATTTCGTGTAAGCACATTCGAAAAAATTAATAAATTGAATCGTGTTCAATATAAATTTAGATTAATTTAAAACTATTTTCGACCAACAAATATAATTTGATTGTAAAAAAAAATAAATAAAATGACTAATTTTGATTGATTTTTTTAAAAATGTATTTCAATTTTAAATCAACATTTTATTGGTATCAATTTTAATATAAAAAATGATCCAGGTGCTTACGTGTACAATTAAGTTTCCATGAGCAACAAAATTACCATTGTTACAAATCAAATTAGAGATATCTATTCGGTGGTGTAGGGATGAAGAAGTCTTCTCCGTCTTTATTTATTTCGCCAAATCTATTTATTTTTGCAAAGATGGAGACGATAATTCTCCATATAAATTGGATCGAGTTCCCACAAATACTTTTTTTCAATTTATTTTTTTTAAAATTTAATATAATTTTTTATTAAAAATTATTTTTTAAAATCATAATAAAATATTCTCCTATATTTAAAAATTAAAATTTTAATACAAAAATGTACCGCACAACATATTCGGTTAAAAATCAATAAATATATATATATATATTTAAAAGTAAGGGTTGAAAATATATTTATATTAAGTAAAACTGAAAATTAGGTGAAGATAGAGACGAGGAATATAAACTTATTACTTGCAGTCAATCTAGGAGAAATTAAACATTAGTAAAATTGATAAATCTTTCTCAATTATAATCAACTTACAGTTATTTTAAGTTCTTTTATGTTACTCTATCTAAAAATAGAATTTAAAATAGTATTATTTTCGATTGAAAGAATCAACAATTTAATAATAACTAAAAGTCTCCACAGACTTAATGATAGACAGAAATAACTTAATTCTACTAGATTTATGTCTGTCATAAATCCATAACAAATTATAAAATAAAATAACTTCAATTAACAATAATTATAGGTTGCAATGGAATGAAGGACGATTCCACTTTCAAAAAGAAAAAAATGGGTTGACTCAATATCTATATTGAGTAATAATATGCTTGTCAGTATAATTATGGATGGTTAAATTGACGTTCGAATATAAAATTTTTAAAATATATGGAAACTAAGCTAAGAATTGGATGAAGTTTAATAAAAAATATTTTATTGCCTACCGCATGTGAAAATCACATAGCTAAACTAAAAATCCATGATTAATTTTTTTTTATAATACAAAATAAATACGGTTGTAAGGAAATGTTTCCCGGAACCAAATGAATTTCATATTTAAAAAAATTAATAAATTAAATCGTGTTCACTGTAAATTTAGATTAATTTAAAATTATTTTGAACAAACAATTATAACTCGATTAAAAAAGAAAAAAAAGGAAAAAAAAATATTTAAAATGACTAATTTCAAATCATCCAAATATGTAATAAAAAAATATAAACTAAAAATAAAAGGGTAATAATATAATTAAGAAAAAAGAAAATTGTCATTTCCAATTAAAAAATGAAGAAAAAAGAAACTTGAAGTAAACGACGTCGTTCTGCTGGTCATCGAGGAGGCCTGCCTTTTCCAGTTCTCACCTGTGCCAGTCTCTTCCGCCTACCCGCCAAAGGATAAAAAGTATAGCGCATAAAAACATGCCAAGCTTGCTCGGATTCAGAGCTTCACAGTTCGTACTCAAATCCTTTTCGTCTTCCTTCTCTCGTAATCTCCCCTCACTCGGTCTCTGCCAGATCAATTCCATATCCCAGCGAACCTTGGCGGCCATGGCCGGTGCAGATGAGTTTGTTAAGGGCAGTGTTCATCCGAATGGCGTCGCGGTTATCTCTCTCGATCGCCCCAAAGCTCTCAATGCCATGAACTTAGGTTAATTTCTTTCATAATTTTGATTCTATTATATCTGAATACTCGTGAAATTTAGGAGTTTAGCTTCATAATGTTGATTCTTTTTTTAGCAATTTAGGATCAGTGCTCAGGTTTTTAATTGCTGTAAATCGGGGAGAGCTCCCAATACTTTGAGAGGCACTATAGCAAATTGAAATAGTGTAACAGCCCAAGTACTATAGGAGTGGTTTCCATGCCCTTCCAAGGAATGTTTCGTTTCCCTGTCCAACCGATAAGGAATCTCACAATCCAGCCCCTTGGGACTAGTGTCCTAGCTGACACACTACCTGGTGTCACTCTAATACCATTTGTAACAGCCTAAATCCACAAGTAGCATATATTTTCTAGTTTTAAAACGCGTCCTATAGGGAGAGGTTTCCACACCCTTACGAGGAATGCTTCGTTCCCTTCTCCAATCGATGTGGGATCTCACAATCCACCTCATTGGGGGCCACCGTCCTCGCTGGCATACTGCTCGGTGTCTGGATATGAAACCATTTGTAATCGTCTAAGTCCACTGCTAGCAGATATTGTCTTTTTGGGCTTTTTGTTCTGAACTTCCCCTCAAAGTTTTAAAATGCGTCCTATATGGAGAGGTTTCCACACCCTTAGAAGGAGTGCTTCGTTCCCCTCTCCAAATAGTTATCGTGTTCGGTGAGAAATCCCTCTAGCTTCTGGAGATAGGCAGATTTTTTCATAGCAAATATTCGGCTCCTATCAAGTGATTGAGGTTACTTGATTCAACAGCTTTTAGCTTACGATCCGCGTCCCGACGAGTCCGTGCCACTCTTTGCTGTGTGATTTATGAGCATAGAAGATCCAATACTTTGAGAGGCATCTCCTTGCTTAGTGCCTGTCGGATGTTTTGTTTTTATTTCTATATACACGTCTGGTCTGATCTGCTTATATATACCTCGAGTCTTCTCACGAAACAACGTCATCTGACCTTACTACATTTTGCGTCAAGGTAACTTTTAGGATACTAAATTTGAGATCAGTAGCCAATATGACT